TCTCTTCTCTTCTCTTCTCTTCTCTTCTCTTCTCTTCTCTTCTCTTCTCTTCTCTTGTCTTGTCTTGTCTTGTCTTGTCTTGTCTTGTCTTGTCTTCTCTTCTCTTCTCTTCTCTTCTCTTCTCTTCTCTTCTGTCGAAGCACCGCGTACTTCAAATCAAGTTACGATTTACTTTGCGTCGAACGCCACGTAAAATGTAACGGAAATTGCCCGTTCATGTACACAAAATTCTTTAAAGAAGAACTAGGGCCCCTGACACGCCTCGCCGAGTGTTGCTCGCTCCCCACGAGCCATTAAATTACGTCGAGAGGAGGAAAGGTAGAATGACATTTATTTTTAAAACCAAAAGGCATTCAACCTAATTGACCTTTAAGTACTTCCATTTCTGATACAACAGTACTAAAGAGGAAACCCAACCATACAGGGTGTACAATTAATGGCAAAAACGTAAAGTATGTGGTCCATAAAACATGTGTAAAGGAAGTTGACACATCACAGAAAGTCTAAAGTTCACGGATACTGAAATTTTTGGTAACATGGCAGTACAGTATTTTCAGCAGGAAAAAGCACGTCTGGTACACGATGTCTATATGTCGTCACTGCTTGAAAAAAACGAGATTGTTGATTTACTTGTCTATGCGTGCAGGGATGGATACATCGCACTTAATAAAGGATAGTTAACTAAACTTAATAATTGTGGAAAATGGCTTGTATTTGGAAAAGTTAAGCACAAATTAGGTCCGATGACTTGTTGTTACTGAAAATATGGATCATGATTTAGTACAAAGGATTGACTTATAGGTTAAAGGCGAGTCAGTTGTGTGAGAAGAAGACTGTTCGCCACGTTATCTAGAGAATACCTGGCAACAGCAATTAAAAATATTTTCTCCGAGACGATCGTTTATGATGGTAATGACTTGAAAAAGTACTTTCATGCTTCATAAAAAATTCACGAGCTGCTGTCTAGATCCGCTGACAGTTACATACCACTCAGGTGATGTCAAGAAAATGAATCCGGAGCTTTTTTTTTGTCAGCATGAAAATCAAAGTCGATTTTGACCCAAAATCCCATATCAATTAAGCAACTAGAGATTGCGAAACTAACATAGCAGCTGTCATTGAAGGAATTCTAGAAGTGTCCGAATATCGAAAACTCGTGGCTCTTGCTTCGTAATAGACCGCAGGTTTCTAAGATTTTACATAAAACATTAATGCGCTCAGTTATCAATGACATGGGTGATGAGTGTGCACTCAGTTAGTTATGTGTATGCCTTTTGATGACCAATTACTTTTTAAATATGCGGTATGTTCTTGCTTATTTTCTGCGTCGGTAAGTATCTTGCAATGTTAAGTATGTAAGCACTGATGTTATTTTTGCTCTCTTGTGAATCATTTCTCGTATATTCCTAAAAACAATTAGTAAAATCTCGACAAACACGTCTCTATTCTTGTCGTTATGGACGATAAGCAAGAGTCGCATGTCCGCTGTAGTAGCGCTTCTGTTCTACTTTGATTAGTTCCTTACTAGCTTAATATTGCGCAAGAGAGTACGCAATTTTACTAGATAATTAGCTAATATATATCACAATCGAATCAGCTAATGCTGGAAAACTAAGAAGTTGAAGCCACCCTTCTACCATTAAATTACCTATTTTCTCTTCCTCTGTTTCTCTTTGTGCCCTGTAAGATATGTTGAGGTTATCGCTGAGCTTCAGCTGCAAAGTGCTGCGCTTCAGCTGCAAAGTGCTGCGCTTCAGCAACAAAAGTCAGGTCGGTCATTTCCTTAAATGGCTTGATAAGGTGTCTGGTCGCTCGCTGCATCGATTTTATCGTCAAGATTAGTTTTGCAAACTTTCAAAAGTATTTTTTTTTTTGGACAACTAATAACGCCATAGAAACACCAGCCAAGTAACACACGAAACGCGGAACATCAGCTGCTAGACATCCTTTTTCGTCGGTTGGATTCTACCCGTAGAACACAACACTGATGGAACCGATAATCGTAATAAGAATTGAGATAAATTGTGCATGTACGATCCAGCGACTGTATCCTGCTCTGCACAAAAACTTTAGCAACAACATATTCAAACAGCTAGAGCAGAGAATACGTACGCTTATATCTGAGCAATTTGGAAGGAGTAACACCAATGTCAACAGGAACCACCACCAGCACGTGAATTTGGTCTTCATCTGGTTGGAAATTATCGCCAAAATGCATAGAATTCTTGATCCAGAGTGTTGGATCCATCTGCACGTGGTTTCGAGGGTTTCCACGTTCATCAAGCGCCACAGAAGCTACGCCAGCCTCATCCAACCACGCGCCGCCCTCTGTCTTGGCTAGGAAAAGCTCCAATCTGTCTGCGTCGACGCCCTCCATATCGTTCGGCTTCTCCGCCTTGATTATCTTCTTGAGGTCTCCTG